TCAGAATCAATGGCATTTCTCTATACCAGTAACAAATGGAATTTTACACTATGAAATTTAATTTTTGTGTAAGCCTATTTCCCCCTCCTAATCATGGTCAGGCTCTCCTACAAAAATTTCTCCCTTTTCAGACTAATTTTAACTGAATTAACTTTCCAATCTCACACATGGCCTCATGTGATAGCAATCACCCTTTCCCTGAATGACTTTTCAAATTATTGTGATTGGTCACTCAGGTTTCTTAGTTTTAATTATTGACAACAAAACAATGATCTGATAGAGGCCCTAATTAATGGCTTGGTATGTCAACATAAGAGGGTTGGGGTGGAAAGGAGTTTTATCTTTATTCATTTAAAATAGAACAGGTCTGACCATGGGTTGTGTGTCAACAGAAAGTGTGTCAAATAAGATTTATGGGAGACCATTGACTGAGAGAGCTCTTACACCAAAAGCCCAACAAAACAAGCCAAAATGGAGTCACTCAGGCTAACGTTTCATGTCACGAAACTAAACCTAATGGTTTACTTGTAAGATCTGATCTTCCAAGAATTCAGGAGAGAGATGATGATCAGAGACTTAAACAAGCCAGTTTATAAGCAGTATTCAAAGAAACAAACAGGAGAGTCATAGCAACCAATCACCAGGTGCCCAATCAACTTTTCTAGGTGTGGTAAAGAAGTCCCTCTGCTTGTCATCTGATGTCACCAATCTGCTCTTTGCACTGTGCTGCATCCTTGTTCCTGCTTAGGCTGCTATGGAAACACAAAAGTTGTCACACCTAGCAGAACTCAGATATGTTTTTATAGACTGATGTCACCAAGTTCATGAATCACAAACAAAAGGCAATTCAATCTTGGGACCCGACTTAAGGAAGTTTTATTTTTTCTCATGTGTCAGTGGTTACAGTAGTATCTTACTCTCATATGTAAGTAGATATAATGGTTGGCAAATCTATAGCAAGCTCTTTCATCTCTTGTTCTCATTCAGTGAGCAGTAGCATGGTTGGTTATGGTAAGTGAAGCATCAGTTTATTCAAAAGATAATAAACACAACTCTCAACATGAGGTCTTCATGAAATCTAAATTTTTCCTTCCACCAATTCTCATAACCCTGAATAATGAATAAGCATCATTTCCAGTTATTATCCATAAATCATAGTTGTACGATTTAATACAAATAGCCTTCAGCAATGCTCACCTAATGGTCACCTATGACTGATCAACTCTAAGTGACCTTGTGTGTCTTAGATGATAGATTAAATAGAACAACCCCAATCCTTAGGAGAGCTGAAAGAATAATGTTGTCAGCCAGACTGCTTGGCCAAATTCTGGAGATGGTAGTTCAGTTTTAAGAAAAGTTCTGGGGGTAGAGTTGGGGGCAGGGGACAGTTGTTGAGAGCAGAGTGGGATAGATACAGGGTGGGAGTTAGGCTTTAGGCTCATGGTTTTCTTTTGTTCAGAGAACAGTGAGGTCAGGGGAGGAAGTGAGATGGGTGAATAGTCTAGCCTGTGTACCAGAAGTAGACACAAGTAAAATTTTGAGTACGGATGAGGCCACTATGTCAGTCCAGGGGGCACAGTAAAACACAGTAGTCACTTTTTTTCAGATGTCATACTACAAAATTACAAATTCTCTCTGAACTTATATAAGCAATGGTATTTTCCTGAGATCTCTCTTCATCTTCAAGTCAAAGTGCTGCTTCAGGTAGGGTTGAAAAGTTTCATAAGGGCACAAAAATAAATATAGGTTCCATGCTATGCAGTATTCGGGTTGTACTTAATCCCCACAACCCTGGATTGGGAGAAATAATAATAGAGAAGGTGTTATGGGGCTTCCCCTCCTTAGATTGATACTAGTGGATGTAGTTCCTTTCTTCAGGAGAATTACAAGTGATTACTTCATGGACCCAGTTGGCCTGTTGATTTACATTCTCCACTCCAAGTTAGAAGATGTTTCTCTGCCTGCAGTATGGAGATTCCTCAGAAAACTTGGAATGGAACTACCACTTGGAACCAGTGATCCCACTCCTTGGTTTATACTAAAAGGTCTTAAAATCAGCATACTATATTGATGCAGCCACAACAATGTTTATAGCAGCTCAATTCACAATAGCTAAACTATGGAACCAACCTAGGTGTCCCTCAAGAGATGAATGGGTAAAGAAAATGTTGTATATATATTCAATGGAATATTACTTAGTTTTAAAGAAGAATAAAATTATGGCATTTGCCAGTAAGTGAATGGAGTTGGAGAACACTATGCTAAGCAAAATGAGCAAAACCCAGAAGACCAGGGGCAGAATGTTTTCTCTAATATGCAGGTGCTAATTCACAAGAAGGCAGGGGGCACTAGAGAAGAATAGCATCACCTTAGATTAGGTAGAGGGAAATGAAGGGAGGGGAAGGCGGGGGGAATATGGGGATAGGAAAGACAGTAGAATGAAACAGACCATTATTATTGTATGCATATATGTGCCTGCATGACCAATGTAATTCTACATGTACACTCAGAAAAATGAGAAATTATATCCCATCTATGTATGACATACCAAAGTGCATAAATGCATTCTACTGTCTTGTATAACTAATTAAAATAAATTTTAAAAATTATTTAAAAAGATTCCTTCTCTTCATAGCTCTTAGTCTAATGAGGATGTAGATTTTTCTCAAGGGTAACTTGCTTCTACTTTAGGAGCAAATAAAGTAGAAGGTAAGAGTAGAGATCTGGAATCTAGGCTTCTTAGGTTCAACTCCCAGGCCTGTTGCTTATTACCTGTGTAGCTATGGGGAAGTTCCTTAGTCCTCGCTGACTCAGTTTCTTCTTGTAGAAAACAGAAACAACTGTATGTATCTCATAGGGTGCTTGTGAGAATAATATGATGTATCACATACTGAGATCAGAACAGGACACATAATCAGAACTATAAAGGTGATTGCTAATTTTTATTTCATTGGAATGATGTCATGATTTGCTAATGATACTATAACCAACTAGAAAACTTCCATATAAATAAGCATAATACCAAAATTCACCACATTTGTTTAATAGAATGTCAACACAGAAAATAATCAGTAGTATTTCTATATCACAGTAGTGAAGAGTGAGAAGTACATAACAAAATTTTACCATACACAAACAAATAAGTACTGTAAGATACATAGGAATGAGTTTAGCAATATGACATCCAGGATCCTTTAAAGGAAAACGGTAGAACGTTGCTAAGAAAGTTAAACTGAAACAGAAATACATAACCAGGAACACAAAACCATGGAATAAATGTCCACTGTGTGACACAGTTGGGTCTGAAACACCTGCAGGATCAGGACTAAGACAAGGATGCCAGTGACCTCACTTTTTAAAAATATTCTACCAGAAGTCTTTAAGAGGGCATTAAGAATGCAAAATTAATAAAAGTTAGGAATTTCAAATAGAAATAAAACTATCTTTATTTGTAAGTAACAGGGAAAAATTAAAGAATCAATGAATAAAATAAAAATTGATAAGATAATTCAGCAAGACTAATGGGTAAAATGCACCCATACCCTTGCAGAATCTATTTTATTTCTCTATACCATTAACAAATGAAATTTCAGAACATGAAATTTAAAATTTCTACAAACCTATTTCCCTTGATAGTCACAGCCAACCCTCTAGCGCTGTTCACTTTCCTCTTATCTGGATTAATATTATAACACTAACCATGGCTTAATAGTGATTTCCCCTTTCTCTGTATGACTTTTTGATTTAAAAATAAAATATCCTTATATGATTGTTCATCAAAGAGATTGTTAGTTTTAATTATTGAGAAAAGTTATAAATTAATAAAAACTCTAGTTAATGGCACATCTGTTTGTTCATAAAAGAGGGCAGATGTGGATAGAAAGTTTCAGTTTTGTTCTTTTAGAAGAGAATAGATTGACTAAAGGCTGAATTTCAATAACAGGTATGTTAGCAAAATTTATGGGAGGTCATCTATAAAGATGGAGCTTGTGCTTGTGTACTAGGAGATTAACAGATTAACCCAAAATAGAGTCACTGTGCAAAGACTCCCTATCATTAAACCTAAACTGTTGCCAGGAGCAGTGGTACACACCTGTAATCCCAGAAGCCGAGGATGTTGAAGCAGGAGAATCATGAATTCAGAGTCAACCTCAGCAACTTAGTGAGGCCCTAAGCAATAGAGCAAGACCCTGTCTCTAAATTATATATATATATTTTAAAAGGGCTGGGTATGTGACTCTGTGGTTAAGCACCCCTGGGTTCAATTCTAGTTCCCCAAACCAAAACAAAACAAAAATCCCAAAATGTAAGCTGTTTAATTGTAAGATCAAAGCTTCCAAGAAATCTCGGGAATAACAAAGACCCAAACAAGCCAGTTTGTAAACAATGTAAAAATAGACTAATAGGAGATTCACATCAACCGATTACAGGGGCCTAATCAACAGTTACAGGCATGTTAAGGAAATCCCTAGGCTTTAAGCCACACGGAGAAAACCCAAGGTCACTAGTCTGCTCCTTGCACTATCTTGCATCCTTGTTCCTGCTCAGGCTGTCATGCAACCACCACCACTTGTCACACCCAGAAAAGCTCCCATCAATATTGAAGACTGAAGCCTCTTGGTTCTTGAATCTTTGACGATATCCAAAAAGGACTTTGAAGTCATGTTCTGTGACGCGTGTAATTAGATACAAAAGGTAGCATATTTACAACAATCATCTTTTCCTATGTTCTCGCTCATACAAGCAGTACCATGGTTGGTTATGGTGGAGGAAATATTAATTTGTTCAAAACAATAATTATGACAGTCTGCATGAGGTCTTCATGAAGCCCAAATATTTCATTCTATCATTTCTCTTAATCTTAAGTTATGAATTAGAGTCATACCCAGATATTATATGTTGGTCATGATTGGATAAATGATACAATGCAATGTGCCTTCCATAATGTTCTCCTACATGTCACCTCTAACTGATCAACTCTAAGTGACCTTGTGTTCCTAGTCAGCAGATTGAATGAGCCTCCACCAGGCTCTAGGAGAGCTGAGAAAATGATGCTGTCAGCCAGGATGCTTGACCAAGGATGAGAGATAGCAGTACGGGAGTTTGGTCTTGGGGTGCAAATGGGAGCAGGATATAAGTGCTAGTGGGAGTGTTATAGATACAGGGCAATAGTTAAGCTTTGGGCTCATGTTTTCCCTTTGTTCAGATTACAGTGAGGTCAGGGGCAGGAAATAGGAAGGGGCTGATCTCTATCTGTGTACTAGGAGCAGTCAAAGCAACATTTTGAGTACAGATAAAGGCAGGTCTGAACCACTGTGCGAGTCCAGTAGGCACAATAATACACAGCAGAGTCACTTTCGTCCACATTTCGTACTACTAATTTACATCTCCTATCTGGGCCTTTATTAGCATCATATTTTTCTGAAATGATTCCTGAGTCTACCACAACACTGAAATTGAGAAGATTATAGTACAGAAGGTATCGTGGGGCCTTCCCCTCCTTGAATTGGTACCAGTGGATGTAGGTACTTGCTTCACGTAAATCACAAGTGATTGGCACATATGACCCAGGTGAACTTGTGACTGACATCATTCTCCTTTCCAACCTGGATGTTTGGCTCCCTAGAATGGTAACAAGAATATAAATTAATGGCAAAGAGGGAATGGAATTCCTTGTTGTGGCTCTTTTGGGGAAAGCAACATCCCATTACATCTGTGCCACATACTTACCAGGAGGCAGGATGGCTAGAAGTAGGGCTAGAGCCCACAGCATGTCTTCTTCCCTGGGGCTTACAAGGAAAAGGACCAGATGATAAGAGGAGAAGAAAGGCCTTCCAACACTCAAATCCTGCTCAAACTGGAAGTGATACCTCCAGCACTGACTTAGATCCTCCTGATCCTCCTGACTGAGTCAGAGACAAGGAGAAGGAACTGAGGAGCTGCCTGAGAAGACCACCCAGCTGTTTACCAGAAGGGGTGGTGCTGGGAGGAGCCCCAGCCTCTTTGTTTCTGCTCAATTCTCTAGCGCCCCCCAGTGGACCCTGAGGGCAGGCCCTCTGCAGAGGAGGAGAAGCCAGGAGCCTGGAGAACACAAGAGCTGAATCAGGTTGAGCACAAATATGGTCAGAGGCAGAGCCCTGTATGAAAATGCCTATCTTCCTGAACTTCAGGTTCCTGAAGTTCAGAGTTTTCAGGTTTCTGTTGCTGCCATGACCTTGTCCTGAGATAAAACTTTTTTATTATGGCCTGAAACCTGCACTTCATCTCTAAGTTGACTTTTGGGCAACCAACAACTGCAAATCTAATAATCATCCTTAGATCTACTTTATTAAAAGGGACTGGGGATGTTGGCTGCACATGACACTACTCAAACAAATAGATGTGGGTGGGACGTGGGGATAGTGGAAGGGCATATGAAGCTACCACAGGAGGAACTCTGAAACAGAGGGCCTAGGTCACATGCGGGATGACTTTGCAGGTCCCAGCATGCTCCACTGTCAGTCAGTTCATATCATGATCCTTCCTCTGTTCAGAAAAACTGAATCTGACCTGTCAATTACTAATTGAAAGAAAATCACATCCTGGATTCTAATGGAAAGAATGCTTGATGTGTTGAAATAACACATATTTAGTAAGCAAAATGCCTTTTACATCTCAGGAGTGGAATTGAAATTACACTAAATCCACAGATTAGCCAGATGTCAGGTTAATAATTTTATCTAAGAAGGAGCGTTACCCCAGATACACCGGTATAAACCAGTAGAATGGAGCTCATCCTCATAGGAGGAATGAAATATTTGTCCTCTTAAAGGCTGACAGTGAGCAAAGAAAATGTAAAATGAGTGTATGATTAGAATGTGCTGTAAAGTCAGACTGAAAAAGTCTACACTACCCCTGGAACTGGACAGGACTTAAGCATCCACTCTGCACCATGGCTGGGTAGGATAGGGGTGGGACTTTCTTGTTTTTATGCTCAAATTAGCCTACATCCCTCTTCTCACTGACTCCGAACACCTATTTATGTGATGTTAATGTCCTGTGTAAAACATCACTTAGGTTGAGTCTGATGTCATGCTTTCTCTGAAGAAGGACTATTTTGATTCTATATATGTCTTTCTACTCCTGAAGCACCTTGCTGTTGTCTATATCTATAGATACCTATGCTAATGGCTTCAAGACATGGGTTTTCCTCCTTGGTCTATACCAAGAAAATAAAACAAAAAGGTACCAGAATCCTTGAATCAAATACCTGAGAAAAGCCAGACACTTGTTGGAATGTTAAGTATTTTCTTGGGGCTTCACCTTTGCTCTTTCCTTCAGAACAGTGTCAGGAAGGGTGGGGATGAGGCTCAGGGATAGTTTGCATAGATAGTATGCTCAAGTCCTGTATTGGGACCCCAGCACCACAAGCAAAAACAAAACAAAACAACAACAAAAAAAAAAAAAAAGAAAGAAAGAAAAGAAAAGAAAGAAATGAGAACAGTGGACAGAAGGTGTGGTGTCGGAACAATCCTGAACATCAGATTCCCAACTCCTCCCACAAAGGATAACTTACTTTGCATATATAACACGGAGAGCCCAGCATATCACAGCAGGGAGAGCAGGTCCCAGCCAGCCTCACCCATATAAAGGTGGATGTTTTTTTTTTGTTTTTTTTTTTCCCACTCACTGTGACTTTTCAAAAGTGACAAAGTCGGTTGTGGTTTAACTGCCCTGGCCTTCTCTTCTAACACTCCAGCCACCCCTGAGCTGCCCTAACCAGCAGGGGCTGGTTTGACACTGAGTCTTTTCCACAAATCAACCACATTTGACAGAGCACGGAAACAAAAGAATCCTGAGAAATTAAAACACCATCAGCCACACCAGTGCCCACCCCTACCCACTCTGTGTCCCCCACCACCAGTGTTCTCCCTCTGCACTGCTCAACTTCAGGGCCATCCAGGTGCACTGGGGGAAGGAAGGGGATGAAAACCCCTTTGAAACCACAGAAAAAGCTGCCTAGTGCCCAGCCAGTGATGTCAGCCCACAAAGCTCTCAGTGATTTCCAAAATTCCTGCCTTTGTGTCTGCTTTCCCAGGGCAGGGAGAGTTCCACATCTCTGAACAGAGGGACACATTCGGCTAGGTCATGGCTAAGTCGTCATTCTGTATCTCACCTTGGAAACATTCATTTTCATCAAATTAAAATATGCACGGCCAAATGCAGATATTGATTTTTAAAATTTATTGTGTCTACTGTGAAAGACAAAGCAGAGATTTCAAGTAGCAAACAAGGCTGCTTTAGGGTATTTAGAAAGGAAGACTTTAAGAGAGTCTTTGCTTAAAGGGCACTGAGGGCTGTGACTAAAAGGTGTACTCTGTTCACACCAAACACTGCCATGATTTGGGTTGGCTGGAGGGGCTGATGGGGACTGTGGAGACAGAGGGACAAGGGGCCACCATGGGCTTACTCCCTGTTGTTGCAGAGTGAAGTTCCTGAGTTTGCCCATTGGTTTTAAAACCTTCTGCAATAACGACAGAATAATACACATATGAACTTAAGGAGCCCGAACTCAGTAAACAAACCCAGCCAGGTCCTCATCAAATGCTGTTCAGGACAATAAATGAAGAACACAACACGATCCTGTTGTACCACTGTCTGTTAGGAGCTCTTCCCATTGCTGCAGACAGCTGTTCTTCTTAGCAGACAGAAGGTGACGATGGCCAAGTAGACCACACTCTTGAAAAGCAGAAGGAGGTAGGTGCAGTAGGCAGAGGTGTAGGCGGAGGTATATGTGAGCTGCAGCCTCAGTGCATCTAAACAGAAGTTGTGCAATTAATTTCACCTGTTCTTTGACAGGAAAGGACTCCTCATGGGGGAGGGTGCCATAGATGTTTATTTTTTGTGACATACACAGAAGTGACACCACCCCCACCAAACCCCAAAGGTCAACATCTACCAATCTCACCCAAACTACCAAGAGCAAGATTTAGCTTATAATCAAGTTCATTAACAACCTCTGTCATATTCACTTAGAACCTCCTAATGTCAAAAAGCAGAACTGCATTTTTAATAGATGAGTCAACAAGAAGCAAAAGTATATGTGAAAATTAGGTAGTCAAATTGCTTTACCCTAACCTGTCTCTGAATAATAATTAGAGACAATATTAATCAACCAGTAAACAAAGGCCAAACAGTATTCTAAGAGCTTCATATTTAAAGTTCTCCTCTTACTGAATCTTTACGATGACCTATGAGAAGGATTAATTCCATTCTCATTTTGCATACAAATTTTGGACACAGTAATAAATAATTTGGCTGATGTTAGGTATTTGGTGACAACCATAGATTTTTGATCCCAGCAACATGACTTTAATAAATACATTTTCATCTACTCTGTGACTCTTCATCTCCAAGTGTAATCACCACCCTGTAGATAAGAAGGTTAGGCATATACAAAGATGAACTGCTGATTAAGACATTGCACATTGTGTATTCAGTGAGATCTCTCAGAAGGGGATAAAGAATTGAGATAGCGGGCAGAATTTTCAGAGCAGGATGAATGGGAGATTTTAGAAAAGAGGACATATGTAAAATGGAAAAAAGAAGTTAATTTAAATTCCTGGAGATATTAGGGGATTTGGGTCACACTCCCCTTACTTCTCTAAATGCTTTTGTTGATGCTGTAATATTTTGGGGTAATGACATATGATATCCTTGGAAGTTTTATAAGAAATATATGATATCATGTAACAATTAAAGATAATGACAGTGGGCTACTGTGGCCACAAGGACAAGTCTCTTATTGTAGAAAATTCCGTGTACATATTCCATCTTCGTAGAGTCAGAACTCAAGATTGACCCTCAGTGTACAAAGAGATCTCCAGAAAAGTTTTCATGGTTCTCTGCCCTGGGTCAGGTGTGGGTTCCAGCCTCTCCTTGCCTGTATGGCAGTGGAGGTACAGTTGAGGTCCAGAACCAGGGATACTGGAAATGCAGGAAAGGTAGGCCTGGCTGGAGCCAATGCCTCTGGTCACCTTCTGGGTGCATATGAAGGGAGAAAAGGGCCAGAAACTAGTTTTTATTCTGCTAAAGATATGCCCTATGCTAGACATTCACATTTGTACCTTTATCTCTTTAATATAGGTGGATTTAGTATAAGTATTCGTCATTGGCAGAGTTTTACAAATAGAAATTACTCACCCATGTGGATACAACTGATTGCCCTGAGAACGAGGAACTGACCAGTCTGTGGTACTCTGAGGCCCATGCACTTCCCACCCCACCATGTATCCATTCTGCCTCAGGACCCAGGCTTTGGAACTTCTTGCTCTGTGACTCTATCTTCAAGGAAGAATAGAGAACTGAGTAACTCTTCATTTGAAGGCCTGAGTTGAAACCCAAGGTCTGGTTGTGTGGCATGTGCAAGGGACTCAATCAATTTTAGCTCATCACCCTCATCAGTAAAACAGAGAAAACTACTGTACCACTAATATCTGTATGATGAGGAGTAAACAAGAAAATGCACAGAGAACACAATCCAAGGTCTTCTGTCAAAGATCCTTATGTAGGCACTAGTTCAACTTGTTAGTAACTAGGTTGAACTCTGAAATAAATCTAGAATCAACCTGATATCACGTTTTCCCAAGTCATTTGAAATGATAGACAGGTGAATGAAAGAAGTTCCTTTGTTGAAATATTTCAAACATATCATTGTATCCTCCAATCACAGTCATCTCCTATGCAAATCAATAATTCTCTGTGTTAATACGATGCCTAAGAAGTGAGGCATTAATTTAACAGATCACTCAGTCTATTCTACAGCAGGCAGCCATTCTGGTTTCCCACCTTATACCAGGGCTGTTCAAAAGTGAAGATGATAAAGAAGGAGAAAAGTGCTAAAGCTTGACATGCAGGCAAACATACACAAAAACTTACCATATTTATCTTTAAAGCAAGCTT